AAGAATTGTGAGGTCGCTTAAGGTCAGGCTAAGGATGAGAAAGAGAGATTGTATAAGTGTTTGTAAGATATTGTAATATGGATGAAGTGAGGAGGGAAGTCCGGAATAAACATCTAATCTAATCTAATAATATTTTTTATAACTCTATAGTATATTTTATACGAATACAATTTTTAGATAATCTATATATTTAGTAGTGTTTAAATAGTTTTTATATATTACTCTCAGCAGTATTTTTCTCTATTGTTTCTTTATAGTTTCCTTATAATTTTTTTTTAAAGACATGACCGCGCGTGATTAAAGAGAAGACATCTCCCGCTCGATCTCTTTCTCCTGGTCCTTCACTTGAGGCAAATGATCGAGAAGATGAGCGTATTGGAATCTTGTCCGCCTCAATATTTCCTTAATTTTCCTTATCCTCCCGCCGTCGAGGGCCACCGCATCCTCCGATCATTCGTCGAAGTAAATTCTTCGACTGCACGTCTATACATCCCGACATTAAATTCTAGATTTTCGATCTCACCTTTCAATTCTGCACAGAAAAAATTAAATGTATAATTTTAAGAAAAATTAGATCACAAAGGATAGAATATTAATAGAGATGATGATGAAAATAGTATTTTTTAAAAATTTGATTTTCCTCTGAAAAACATTAGCGAATTAAATGCTAGTAGAAGAGTAATTGATGGACGAAAACAATACTAATATGCTTGTAAAAATAGAATTTATATAAAAAAAATAAAATTTTATAAATATTATTATAAATATATTATTTTACTTTAATAGGTAATTGAATTATCAAAAATTGGTGGAGCTATGTATAAACCTACTATTAAAAAAATGATTCAATTATTTTCTAATAAAGTGGCAGAACAATATAGTTGGATAGGATTAAAGGAAAAATAAATTTTTCTTACTACGTATTTCTGCTGCTATAATAAGTGAGTATTAATTTAATCTGTACATATTATTTGATAATTTACACATGCATATATACATATATGTAAAACTATATTATAAATTTATTTTACAGAAGCAGTGCAAAAAACACAATACAATAACATTAAACAAAATTGAAACAATTATGAAGGCATGGCTTGTAAAAGCAAAATTTAGAAATGCTAAACAGGCAAAAAACAATAAGCGCTATATATTAAGAGCCCTAGAACAAATAAATGAAGGAAAACGTCAGCCACTTGGATTTTTCTCGAGAAAACTCACAGAAACACAGACGAGATATAGCACATACGATCGTGAGTTATTGGCTATGTACACTGCTATACATTATTTTAAATACATGATTGAAGGCAGAGAAACAATAATATTCACGGACCACAAGCCGTTGACGTATGCTTTCGACCAGCGACCAACCAAAGCCACGCCACGACAACAAAGGCACTTGGATTTCATAGGCCAGTTCACGACGGATATACGACACATCTCAGGCCTGGACAACAACGTAGCTGACGCACTATCACGAATGAACGACATCACGTTGCCTGTCATCATCACGACAGAGGACATAGCGGCGGAACAGCAGACGGACGAGGAGCTTAAAAGCCTCCTCAAAAATCCAGGTGAACTGCAATTAAAACAATTACGATTAGAGGGCACGGAAACCACAGTATACTGCGACGTATCAACGGACAGCATCAGACCTTACATTCCAAAACCCCTAAGAAAGAGGATCTTCGATGTCGTCCATAATACAGCTCACTCCAGCGGCAGGGTGACTAGGAAGAACATAGCGTCCAATTTGTGTGGCCGGCCATAAACAAGGACATCGGCGAATGGGCTCGTACATGCCTGCAATGTCAAGGGCCAAAATTAGCAGACATGTTAGAAGGAAGCCGGAACACATTAAAGTACCAGAAGACAGATTCGCACACATATACTTGGATATCGTAGGACCACTACCACCATCACGAGGTTACCGTTACTGTCTAACGATGATCGACAGGTTTACCAGACGGCCCCCCGGAGGCGGTTCCGATTCCAGACATCACCGTGGACACCATGGCAGACGCATTTTTCGGATCCTGGGTAGCACGATTCGGTTCACCAACTGTCATCACAACTGACAGAGGACCACAGTTTGAAGCACGATTGTTTAAGGCGTTAACAAAATTAATTGGTTGCAGGACACAACACACAACCGCGTACCACCCACAGGCAAACGGAACAATCGAACGCTGGCATCGTTCCCTGAAGACCGTAATCAAATGTCACGAGACGACCGACTGGGTAAAAGTCCTGCCCGTAGTGATGTTGGGACTGCGGAACGCATTAAAAGAAGACATCGGTACATCTGCTGCCGAACTCGTGTACGGGACGCAACTGAGGATACCCGGCGAATATTTCAGCCAGGAGGAGCCATCTCAGGACCCGTTTCCATTCCTGGAAAAATTACGACAGGCGATGCGGAAAATACGACCACGACAAACAGCACACCACGACAGACCACGAACATTCACACACAAGACACTGCACACATGCACACGTGTCTTTTTACGTGTAGACAAGTACTGTAGCGATCCCTTCATTGGACGAGCTACAACAGCGCCACGCAGCGACACCAACATCCGGCGCCAGCGGAAAGTTCCGGGTTTAAAGATGACTCGAATTTTTAGACTTTTGAAATCTAACAGTTGGATTCTTGCGAACGTTCGGAGTGACAATATAATAACGATAGTTTCCTTCGAACATTAACGAGTATTACGTTGTATAAATTCGTTCAATCGTGAATTACTTGATTAAAGCTATCAAGATAGAGACAAAAATTCCAATTTGTTAGAAACTGTAAATAATGTATTGTAAAAGTCTGCTGTTGCTATTTTCAAATGACTCAAGAGTTAAGCGTTAGTCTCTTTCCTTTGGATCCTCGTCTGGAAACTTCTCGAATGTTCTCTGTATGTCAAGTAACCGGTGTTTAAGACTGAATTTTAAAGGCGAATTGGATGCCACAGGAGCCCGTACGCACTGCAAACGGTTCTCGCCAGGATTGGAGCGTTGTTAGGTGAAATTCAACGGACACTGATTTTAGTAATAAAGATTTAATAAAGATCGAAATGCTTCTACAATTTAACACTTCTCGAAAGTACTCTTATGCGCACGATTTAATAACACGTCTGCTCGTTTGCACTTCTCAAAGGAGAGTCGTTCTCCTCGACTTCGAATCTAACGGCCTACGGCCCGCGGTCGCGCTCGCATGCGCGCGCATATCCTTTGGCCACCCTATATGCTACGGTGGCAGCACCGCACGGGTGTCGGAAACGACGCTAACGCCGGACATTGCGTATCGCGGTAATTATTTACGCGCCGCTTACAGCTCGGCCAGCCTGCATTAACTTCGACTCAAAGTTTTATTGTTTGCTATTTAAACAATGTTTACAGCCATATTCTAAACTAATTTGTGTTACCCTACTGAGGCCAGCACGCAACAGGTACATATTTTTCAGCTATATATACATACTACAAACGAAGTGAGTTGTAACTCTATTAGTAAATACGACGCTAAATATTAACAACAATTGAATATAAATTTAACTATAATTTCTATACTAACATATATACTTAAACTATACTACAATATTTACAGTATTTTCGGTATCTGACTCAGGTGCCACTATCCATGGCTTCAGTCGATCTGAGGACAGGATAGTGTCCATCGGCTTCTGCTTTAAATTGAAACCAGGTATGTCTTTCACCACGTATCTGTTATTACCAAGTGCTTTTGTTATTAGATAAGGTCTTTTGTATCGTGGCTTCAATTTAGAGCTGACACTATCACACTTCTATCGTCTCTAATCAGGACGTATGATCCCTTTTTGTACAGCGATGGCTTCCTGCTATGCACATCTTTATATATTTTGTTGTATCCCCTAATTATTTCAGTTGCTTCTAAAGCGGTATCTCTATTATTAATTCTTTCTTTTTCCAGATCGCAGTCTACCTGAGCTAAGGCCTTCGTGAGCTGTGATATTTTACTGTCGGCGTGATTACGTTGTTCATATCCTAACATAAGCTTAGACGGACTGGATTTTGTACTTGAATGATAAGTATTATTTATCACATATTGTATCGAGCCTAATTCCTTTTGCCAATCCTCTTGACTATCTAATAATTTGGTTAAGGAAGTTCTTAAAAATCTGTTGACTCGCTCAACCATACCATTGGCCCACGGGGCTGCTACTGTTACCTTCCTATGTTTAATCTGTAAATTCATCGTAAAGTTCTCTATTTCTTTGTATGTGAAGGCAGACCCCCTGTCCGATACTAATTCTAATGGTTTGCCAAAAGTCGAAAAAATAGTATTCAGACATTTTATTACTTCCTTTGCCCCTGTCGATCTGGTTGGCGACAACCATGTGAACCTAGTAAACGCATCTACTATAATTATAACATGTCGATAATTTTCAGGAGACTCCTGAAGAGGACCAAAGTGGTCAATATGCAGAATTTCGAGAGGTGCCTTCGGCAAGGGATATAAATGTGTCTCCCCTTCTTTACTGTGCATTGAGGTATTGGCTGTGAGGCAAGTTAAACAATTTTCAATATATTGTTGGACTCGTTTCCTCATTTGTGGAAACCAATAATTTGATTTGACACCTTCAATTGTCTTATCAAATCCCACATGTGCCATGTCATCGTGGTGTGCCCTCAATATATTTATTATCATTGATTCAGGGACTACAAATTTCAACCCGTTGTCTAGTTTTTTATATATCAGTCCATCCACTAACGCGAACTTTTCGCTATCACGTGTCTCTAATTCCTTACTAATTTTTTGTATCGCAGGATCTGTCAATTGCAGAAATTCGAGACGGCGTTCTAAAGGAAGCTCATCAACCATGGCCACGCTGCGGCTCAAGGCATCAGCATGTGCCATACGATTTCCTGGCCGATGAGTGATGTCGAAATCGTAATTCTGAATCGCTAGAGTCCACCTAGCTATTCTAGGATTCAGGTTTGCCTTTTTAACTGCATGTACTATCGCGTTGCAATTTGATACTACGGTGAACTTTATACCATATAGATACAAATGAAACCGTTCTACAGCTCGAACGATAGCCAACATTTCTAATTCAAAGCTATGGTATCTGGTTTCAGCGGAATTTGTCGCCTGGCTAAAATAAGCTATCGGGGCCCACTTTCCGTCGCCCTGTTTCTGAAGAAGCACCGCACCGATTCCCGTACTGCATGCATCCGTATGCAATTGAGTTTCCGCTGCCGGGTCATACAACCTTAATACCGGGTAAACTGTGAGTTCACTCTTTATTGTTTCGAATGCTTCGACGCATCGACTGTCAAAATTAAAGTTAACTCCTTTTTTCAGTAGATTATGCAACGGTTTAGATTTTAACGCGTAATCTTTCACAAATTTCCGAAAATAATTTGCGAGACCGAGGAATCTTTGCAATTGCAATTTATCCCTTGGTTGCCTATAATTTTTTACTGCGTCCGTATGCCGCGGACTTATCGTGATTCCATCTTCCGATATCATATACCCCAGAAATTCTATTTCTCTACGCAAGAATTTACACTTTTTTAAATTCAACTGAAAGCCGTACATTTTTAATATTATTAGTACTTCTTCGATCGTTTCCAAATTCTGCTCTATCGTTTCAGATGCTATGAGAACGTCGTCTATGTACACGAGTACCTTGTCCAGCCTTATTAATGGATTCAAGATCTGGATTAATCTTTTCTGGAACTCGGCCGGAGACTCACTAAAGCCGAAAGGTAAACGCTTAAATTCGTACTGACCATCCGGGGTCGCAAATGAAAAGTATTTCATCGAATTCTCATGCACCTTTATTTGGTGAAAACTGTCGCGTAGATCTAACAGTGTGTATACTTTTTTTCCCCCCAATCTAGATAGGCATTCCTCTATAATCGGGAATGGATATTTCTGTTTGAACACCCTACTGTTCAACGGACGCAAGTCGACGCAGAGCCTTGGCTGACCGCTTTTCTTTCTGACCAGCACTACCCTGGCGCAATACGGAGAGGCACTCGTCTGTATGATGCCACGCTTCAGGAGATCGTCGGTGATCGTCCTCATTTGTTTCCGTTCCTCCAGAGCAAAACGTCTCGGGGCATACGCAAATACCGAGGTGTCGCGCATGTTCACCCGTACAGCATAATTATCGTCTACAGGTACGATTTTTCTATTATGTATATTAAGTAATAAATCACGTAACCTCTGCTTTGTTTTGAAATCGAAATCTATCTTATTTTCCTCGAATATTTGTTTAAGCTCTGTTTCTCCTTCATCGACGCACAAAGAAGGAACGAGAACAGATTGATTGTTTGTTCTACATCTTTGGCCGCTGGGTCATATACCAATGTAAGTTCATTTGTTTTTAAAAATTCGCGTCCTAATATAATATCCCCTTGAAAGGACCCGCTGTCGAGAACATGTAAATCTATACAAAATTTTTTGTCGCGCAATAACTCTATATTTAATTTTAACGGCACGATTCCTAAAATTTCTAATTTCTGATTAGACAAGTTTCTTAGGCTTGTCTCGACTTTATTTAAACTATTTCCAACCGGATCTATCAGTTTTTTGTAAACACTCGCTTTTATAAATGATACGGGACTGCCAGTGTCTATTAATGCTAATAAATTTTCTTTACTGTTTTCCAGTCTAACTCGGACAAAAGGGTTGTCCACTACGAGACGAGAGCACTCGTTCACCGTCGCGACCTCGCCGCTTTCCGCCGGTTCGGCTGTTACGCTCGCCGCTGCTACTGCCGGGGAATTGAACGTCCTAGTCGCCGGTCTGTTCTCTTTTTTCTTGAGCGCCGGGCAATCGAACCTCCGGTGCCCGCGCTCCTTACAATAGAAACAAATTTGTTCTGACTTACAGTCTCGATGACCATGTCCTTTTTTCCCACAGTTCCTGCAGGAGGCATCCTTCGGTTTGGATGACTGGTGCTGAGCGGCTGTGGACTTCCGGTCGCCCTCCGATGTTCCCTGCGTGATGACGCGCATCCTCTCCAAGAAGGTGTCCACGGTGTCGGCAGTCAGCGACAGCGCCGTGGCCCTCAACGAAATTTGTTGGATGCCGCTCACCAACAGCTGGATTCGGTCCGCCCCCGGAAGCTCCACCCGATGCATTAGAGACAGCTTCTTTATAGCATACTCATCGAATGTCTCCTTGCCTGGCAACCATTTCCTCGCCTCTATTTTCTGCATAATTCTGTAGAAAGGAATCTTTCTTTCAAAAATCTTAACTATTTCTGTTTTTAGCCCGATCCATGATTCGACGGCCACGTCTCCCTGGACATCGAACCATCGACGAGCGAACTTCACCAGCTTGCTTGATGCTGCAAGCAGTGTCGCACCGTCCGTCGCTCCATGAACTTGTGCCACCTTGTCCACTCTTCTGATCCAGGCGTGAACATTGTCATCCTCTGAGCCGGCAAACTCAGGGATTTGGTGCGCCAGCGCCTGCACCGCGGGACCCGTCGACCATGACTCATGCGACCGTCGGCTTACTTCATCTGTCGGCGTTGAGCGCGACGATGCTTGATTGGACGACGTCCTCGACGGTCCAGGTTGGCCCTGACTGTTACCCTCCGCTCGCTGCTCCACCAGGAGCTG